GTGTTCAGTCTCCATCACTTCGAGAAAGCCTATATTTCATGAAAATTTAAGATCTTTTTTCTTCCTTTTCTCTCTTTTGATCCTTCTAGAGAATCTTTTATCAGAATGTTTGGTAATGGTGGCCAAACACTAACTATCCAGTTCTTACCTCATGGTGAAGGAGGTAGATTGTTTACGGAGGCAACCTACACACATCCCATTTTCCTATTACTGACTCCGCATTCCTGTGTTGTTTCAGATGAATAGAGACCAGCCACCTCTTGGATGATCACTTACAAGCTTTTCAAGTCTCAGATCTACAAAACTAAGTAGGAAGTATAACAGATGTACTAAATGTTTTCATTACCTGGCCCAGTGGACAGAAAGTGATGTTACAAAGCCAAAGGTGGGTGACTTTTAATACTCGGCCTTCGGGCCTGTCTTTCATTGGTTTTGTTCATTCCTCTAGGTCTATAGCCCAGGTGTACAAGTTGCCATACCGCTGTCACTTGTGGTTGCTGTAAGGCTGAACACTGTGACATTGATGTGTCAAATGTGATAATGGTTACCCAATGCGGACAGTGTTTCCTGAAGTTCCCCGATTAAAACAAGCTTGGAAGCAGGTGTGACATCCACTTCCAAAAATAGCTTACCTCCGGAAAACCTATGAACCTGGAGAAAGGACAAAAGTCACTCAAGTGTTGAGGACTTTTGTTGATAGGGTCGCTATGAGTCGCTTACAATTCGACAGCACTTAACAACAACAACAACATGTATGTTTTAGGAAACTCTCATAGCCTAGTCCATAGAGAGTTACTCTGTTAACTCAAAGGCTGTTCAAATCCACAGGCAACACCAGGGAAGGAAGGTGGATCGTCTGTGTGATTTACAACCTTGGAAACCTGCTGGGGGTTATGTCAGAGTCCGTTCCAACACAAAAGCAAGGAAAGGGAATGTATCTTTCATTTAGAAAAGATGGCTTCATTGGCAATTTCACATTTGGTTATTGGTTCCTATTCATCTGTCACTCTAGACTAAAAATTCATATACATAAAACAACTATGAGATATCATCTCACCCCAGTTAAAATAGCAAAATTTAACAGTACAGCAAGCAACAAATGCTGGCGATGTTCTGGAGAAACTGGAACCCTTATTAACTGTTGGTGGGAGTGTAAAATGGTGCAACCACTGTGGAAAGCGGTATTGCACTTTCTCAGAAAGTTGCAAATAGAGATACCATTTGACCCAGTAATTCCACTACTGGGAATATATCCCGAAGATACCATAACTGACATCCAAGCAGAAATATCCACACCCATGTTTATTGCAGCTTTGTTCACAATAGCAAGGAGTTGGAAACAACCTAAGTGTCCATCAACAAACGAATGGATAGAGAAGCTGTTCACACAATGGAATACAATGCTACATTGAAAAACAAGGAACTCATGCAATATTATTCAAAATGGGTGACTCTGGAGAACATTATACTGAGTGAAATATCCCAGTTACAAAAGGACAAATATTGCATGGTGCCACTGCTGTAAAAGAGGACTGACCTTGGGGCTGGGGAGAGACTGAGAAAGAGGAGTTCAATAATACATACTGCACTGAAACAGATGAGGGAGAAAACTGTTTAAAAGAGATATGTGATTAGGTATTTCTTTCATGACAGGAGTCTAGAGTGATGGCTACATGGTGGAGTGGACCTGGGAGAG